CAAATTATTATGGCCTATTACAAAAAACTAACAAAAAAGTCTAAGTCTTTGTCTCCAACTTTCCATCCTGAAAATAACCAGCCAGACTTGAGTCTGAGTTCTGGACTCAAGTGCTGGAACACTGGCTGTTGGTATACACTTCACAGAGAGATATTTGACTGCATGAATACTGTTATTGTTTGTTGTTAGGTGGGAGAAAGCCAGCTGGACCGATCAAAAAAGCATCGATGAGTTCTTCGTACGAAACGTCGTGGTGCTGGATGTTTATAAGTTTGTCTCGTTTCTCGAGCTGGGGTTCCTGCTGCAGTACCCCAGGAGGGTGTCCGTCATAAACGCCGGGGTAATCGACCATCGACCATCAATGAGATTTGACAAATTATCAGAGGGTTTTGGGTAGTGTGGATGTGACGTTGGCTCTCTACTGTGACTGGCTTGTGCCACAGTATAATCAGTGACCAAGGAGGTTACCAGTTAGCCACAGTAGCATGCCAATTATCCCTGTAGTAGTCACTACACCACTGAGCTGCCAATAATGAATCACTGAGTAAAGTGTGACTTTTACCCTCAGGTGTTTGTGATGCCTTGTATGACGTCCGGCCTTCTGGTGAACCTTCAGTACCTGGACATGTCTGACAACCTGCTGACCGACATGACTCTGATCGAGACACTGTGCAAAGGAAACGGCACACTGAAGGACATCCGAGTTTTAAACATCAGTGGAAATGCTCTGAAGGTGGCTTCATGAAACTTCATTGTTTTAACTTTAACCCGATGCCAGGTTTGAAAAGTAAACTACCTGAAGTCTGAAGACTTATTTGCCATTGTCCAACTTGTGCCCAGAGTTTGTCCACACTGAGCCAACTGGTAGCAAAGCTCTACAAACTGACCCACCTGGACATCAGCAGGACCAACTACAACTCCATGCCTCCAAGCTGCTCCTGGCCCTCCACCTTGCGATACCTCAACATCTCCGGGGCTAAACTTGACAACATTACTCTCTGTCTACCTGCAACTCTGGAGGTACTGAGGCTGGACCACGTGGCAGTAATCCTGACACCATTGCAACAAAAACACTCTGATAAAACCCTTTACCTCATATTCTATCATGTCCAGGTGTTGGATCTGAGCAACAATAATCTCAAAGACTTCACTGTGGCCCTGCCTGCCTTGAGGGAGCTCCACCTCTCTGGGAATAAGTTTCTGAGGCTGCCTTCAGGATACTTGTTCCCCAATCTGCAAACACTGACCATACAGGTAAAAAACCATCACATATCATATTCCTGCTTCAAGTCCTCTTTGTATTCTGCAGGGTGACCCCTCTTTGTTCTTCCACAGTCAAACACCTTAAACGTGTTCAGCCATTCAGATCTTCAGTCATACACACGACTCCAGAATCTCCAGGCGGGTCAGAACAAGTTTGTCTGCTCCTGTGACTTTGTTGCCTTCCTCCAGTCCGGCATTAAGGAAGGTGGAGATGTGCATTTAACAGACGACGAGGAGAGCTACGTCTGCGACTCTCCCTTCTACCTGCAGGGGAAATCAGTGGGTCAAGTCCGCCTCTCGGTTGTTGTGTGCCACCAGGTTTTGTTCGTGTCCGTGAGTTGCGGGGTGGCACTGTTTATTGGGGTTCTGGTGAGCATCATACTATGGCGCCTCCATGCCTTCTGGTACCTCAAGATGACATGGGCGTGGCTGAAGGCCAAGCATAGTTCCCGGCACCGGCGGCGACTCAGAGATGGGGCAGATTCAGAAACATTGCTATCCTTTGATGCCTTTGTTTCCTACAGTGAAAGAGACACTGGCTGGGTGGAAACCTACTTGGTACCTGAGCTGGAGGAGCCAACGTAAGTTCAACATTTTTTGTGCAATTTTTTCTTTTTAACATTACTAACTATGCCACTATTTTTCCAGTATCACTACTTTTATGTTAGTAAAAAAAAAGATTGGAACATCTGTAGCTCAAGATGACTCTATCAGTATCACACTCATTTGGTATCTTTTGGCAATTTATTTTTTCATTCCCCTCAACAAATGTCATTTAATCTTCACTGAACATGATATTGAAAATGTTTGGATGAGCCCAGAAAGAAATTATCCATTTGCTTGCCAGATTCTTATTCTTCTTATTTCAAACAGCCACCACTTCAGCAACATGATGAATTAAAATGATATCTCAGTGGGCAGGAGTCTGATGAGTGAAAATATTGAAACACTTGGCAAAATCTGCGTTCATGTTCAGTTGTACAAATTGGAAAAATTACTTACTAATTAGAAGTAAGGAAGTTGTCAGGGTTATGCACTTTTGCAGCTGACTGTATCCCACCTACCACACCTTAAGTCGAAACATCACCTGTTTTCTTGTGCATACTTCTACAGGGAGATCGATGGAGACGCTGCGAATTACAGAACTGCCCGGCCATTGACCCTGTGTCTCCACAAGCGGGACTTCCTTCCTGGACAGTGGATTGTGGACAACATCATGAGCGCCATAGAGCGCAGCCGACGGACTGTGTTCATCCTCTCCGAGAATTTTGTCCAGTCTGATTGGTGTCGCTACGAGCTGGACTTCTCCCACTTCTGGCTTTTCGATGGGGAAGCCGGCGGAGAGCCGGCCATCTTGATCCTGCTGGAGCCGCTGTCCAAGGACGACGTCCCCAAACGCTTCTGCAAACTGCGCAAACTCATGAGCTCCACCACGTACCTGGAGTGGCCTCAGGAGGAGGAGCGGAGGGGGGAGTTCTGGAGGAGTCTCCGCAATGCTTTGGGAGGAGAAGGAGACTGGGATGAATGAGAAAGTGATATGGATTAATGGTGAGCAGAAAAGGCAAGACTAGGATAAGGAACTCAGCAGTAAGAGAAATGGCAAGAGGAGAAGAGGACAAGAGAGGAGTGAACAGTCAACGAAAAGAAAAAAAATAAGTTAAGACGGGGAACACTTTAACATAAGGACCAGTAAAGTTAGACAAAATAATGGGAGTCAAATGAAAAGATGAGGTGTAAAAGATCACTGAGGCAGAGGAGTAAACAGTGCACATGAAAGGAGGAGATTTAATGACAGTTAAATGACATGAGTTTTTTTTGTTGTTGTTTGTATTCATCACTTAATTTAACTGGAAAAATCTGCAGTAATCAGACCAAGCTATTCTATAAATTACTATAAATTAAGATGTACTGCTCCCTCGTCAGTTATTTTGCTGGTAGTGAGGTGAAATGGCCACTTGATGGAGCTGTTGCTTTGTCATCTATCTAACAACATGTGGTAATTGTGGTTGTGAGACCAACTCTGGCAACAGTAAAGAGCCTCAGCCTTGAGACGACATCAGGAAAACTAACAGCAGCTGAGGGCAGACATGTTTTCTGTGTGCTCTGTTTACACTCTTATTCTATTTGTTTTTATCCCATTTTCTTCTGTTCTGAACCCGAGCGTGTGAAGAAGTAACATAATATTCATGTGTCAGTTTTAGTAAAATCTTAAAATAAGGTTTAATTCATTCATTTTTAATTAGTTAATCTATCCATTGGTTTTCTGTGGTTTGGAATCATTATTTACAACTCAGAAGTGCTGACAAACATGTGATATAAATGCCAATAAATGAATGTATTGAGTAAAGGATCATAGGGTATATTCTCCCACTGGTCTTCCATCATGTATCCCTATGAAAAAGGGTATGAGATGTCATTATATGTGCTGTTAAAACAATCAGTCAGGTGAACACTATAGAAACACTGTAGGCTTTAATTTCACTTTACATAATAAGTAATTAATAAATAATAAGCTTTGCCCTTTTTCACCACACAATAAAGCTTTAAGACTATCTGATCTCAGCTATGACTATATTTGCACCGTCCTCCTTTTTAGGTGAGCAGGTATGTTTGTCTCGTCTTAACATCTGATGTTCCCTGCTCCAAAGACAAGACAGTGTCTCAGCCTTCTCTTTAGAGTCAAGGCAGGAAATGGTGTAACAATAACATAAAGCCTAGAAGAAGAAGAAAAAAACATAAATGACAGGAAAAACCAAGGAGAACCAAAAAAGTTTTAACATCATGCAAAGATAATACAACAGGAAACAGAGAGAGAAAATAAACAGGTAACAAGTCCTTAAACACTTATGAGTATCACACTGAAGCCTTTACAAACAAGTTAACAGTAGATGGTTCAAAGTACACCAAACAGCTTCCCAGAATATAATATCTGTGCTATAACAGCAACAGAAATCATTTACAGATGGATATAAAAAAAACAAACAAAAAAAAACATGTTAGCTTCCAGCTCCTCTACATTTCTGGAGCATTTCTAAAATCTAGGGCTGGGCCTTTCAAAAGAAACCATGTAGTGAATGAGATACAGGGATTAGAAAATAGTTTCGGTTTCTTTTTGACTTACCGAAACTCTCTGCCCTTAACCAGCCTTACCTGCCAGGCAGTGCATTCGCAACAACAGTAAGATGGAGGACCGTGAGCAGGATGTTTAATGCCTGGAATATTATTTGTTTTATTTATATTTGTTTCAGTTGAGGGTCCCATCTATAAAGGGTCGGGTCGGTCACAGCTAGTGATGTTCATTTTCAATTTTCTGTCAGACAAATAGCCCCAGGATATTTTAACTGATGGCATTAATCGCTCAAAAATCTTATTGTTGGTTATGGATAAGGAATTAATTGTGGACCCTACTCAGACAGCATGTACCCTTCAAGTTCAAGCTGGTACCAATCCAGGTGACTGACACAATCCTACTGCAGAGCAGACTGTCCTGAGCCGACTGTTTCATTGATTTCATTCATATTGATTCTGGGTACCTTGGGATTGAGCTTGAAGGCTCGCCATCCACTGGGAGCACCAGACCGTCTCCACAATGGTTCTCATTCAAACATAAAACCTGACCTGCATTTACAAACAAGCTTAAAGTGTAACATGGTACCAACACAGGCAGGTTGGACCCAAGCGCAAATACACACAGGCAGGCTGGATGATAGTGAAGAAGCTTTTAATATCTAAAAACAAGCTTACTGGCAGACAAGACGAAACAGACAGGCAAACAAGCACAAACAGGTAACAAAACTCAGGTGTCTGACACAAGAAAGAAAATAAGTGCTGGAAACAAGTACTGGCCTCGGGTGATGAGGGAACTGGATCAGGTGTGTGAGTGGGCAGGGAAACAGATAAATGTCTGGGGTGGACAGAAGGAGAACATAGAGTGACATGAGTTGGACTTAAGTGAAACCCGTAGAACAGCAGACTGCGACATTAGTCTCTGTTCTGTCTTCTTAAATCTTGTGCAACGTCATAGAACATAACGGTTAAATTAAGAACTGACTTATGAACTGCAAATACTAACACACTGACAATTATTTGTTACTCTCTTGATTAATTCCCAAATTCTCCAATTAACATTAGAATTATTTGATTGAAACATCAAAACGCTTATCTTAAAATCAAGGGGGAAAATAATACAAATATTAGATATGAAAATAAGATTTTAAGGTATTGCTTAAATGTGTTCTCCTCATCTATCTTCAACAGTTCCTCAACAATCCTCTTTTCCTTCAGAATTCTCACAAACTTTTGAAGTATAGTCAGAAGAGAACCGGCGAACTCTAAAATATTCACTGTATGGAGTTGGAGGAGATATCATTTCTAGGAATTTATTTCCTTTTGCTTCTTCCTCAACTCTGCTCAACAGTTCATAATTTCCACTTTCCTTCAGCTTGATTACAAACTGTTTAAACATAATATGCAGAGGATAGGCACATCCCATGACGATGTGTGGCTGGTCTCCAACCTTATAAGCAAATAGAAGACTATGCAAACCAAACACTCGGCCAAAAGCATCAAACACTGGGGAACCAGAGGAGCCGCGATACATAAAGGTTTTGTAGGTCACTACTTTTTCTGCTAGAACTCCACCGGACAATATGTGTTCAATACCTTGATCTGTGATCACCTGAATGATGGAGTGGACAGTGAACAGATGGTCTTTGTATGGACGTAAATGATCATTGACAGCCTGTAACCTGTCCTCTTCCTCAATGATACGTGTAACATCCATTTTTTTCACTCCTCCTGTTGGGTGACCAATAATATAGGCTTTACCGTTCAGAGGCACTGGACCAAAGTTCCTCAGGAGCCCTGGTGGAACCTTTATTTCCTCTGCTTCTATATTTTTGTTGAGGTTCTGGTCCTCAAGATTGAGCTCCAGTATGGCATAATCTTGCACAGCATCAAAGTCAATGAATGTTTTCTTACAACTGAACAGCTTAAGATTTAGTAAGTAGGGATCAGGATCATCATAGTTAAATCGAATCCACACATCTACATCCACCTGCAACTTTGCTTCATCAACATGACCTTTAAATAAATGTGCATTGGTCAGAATAAAGTTATCAAACAGCACAAAGCCTGTTCCCTGACCAACATCCTCAACAATGACTTTACAAACGGATTCGCCCAGTTTCAGCAGATTCCTAAATCTGTAAACTTCACTAAAAGACTGTTGAAAGTTTACAAAATTTTCCTTCCTCTGGGTCACTTCTTCTTCATAAGAATCACTACATAATCTCTCTTCCATCCATTTTTTCTGAGATTCTGTGGTCTCAGCCAATGGAGTATGTGGAGTGGACTGAACTTTCATTAATTTTGGCGAAAGCTGTGCTAGCTCTGTAGTATGTGCGGCCCACCCCCGTTTTCCTTTAGCATAGAAGTTTGGATAAACATCAAATGCAATGGGATCCACTTCCCTTTTTGTCTGGGTAAGACCTCGACGGACATGTTGTTCAGTGCTTTCTGAATTGTCCTTTTCCTGTTGTCTCATCACAGTAGTGTCATTTTCTCTTGTTGTTTTATTCATCAGTTCATTTGGAACACACTGCAAAGAGCATCTTTCCATGTGTGGTACAAAATCTGTAACCGAGTCAATGTTGCGCATATGAGAGCAGGTGTGCTCGTGTTCTGGATCACCTGGATTGCCTTGCCTGGCCCCCTTACCGAGTCCACCCAGCAGGAGGAAGAAGAAGAAGAACCATCCTTTCACTCGCCGTGGCTTTTCAACTCCTTGTGAGCGGTTGGGGGAGGTGCCGGCCTGCACCCTGACTAATGGATCCATTCTTCTCTGCTTTCGAACCAAATGGCTGTTGTGGTTGTCAGCTGCACCTGGAACACACTTGGCATTAGCTTTTACTCCTTCAGTATCTACCAGAATATCTACATTCATCCATCCAATAGCTATACCGCTCATCCTTTGAAGATTGCAGGGGAGCTTGAACCAATCCCGGCATTAAACAATAGCTGGTTACGCCCTACACAGGTTGCTAGTCTATCACAAGGCTGACACTTGGAGACAACACAACAAGTTACGCTCAGCTCCACAACTACAGGCGATTTAAAGTTGCCAGTAAACCTAACCTGCATGTCTTTGGCCTGTGGGAGGAAGCCAGAGTACTTGCAAGAAACCCATGCAGTAACCATGCATACTGACTTTATAATGAATCAATGTGTGCAGTATGAAGTAAAAGTAGTTTTATGTTTACTGCATATCTGTGGTTTCTCAAGGTACTGTGTTTGTTATCACTACATAAAAGATAACTGTTTTACAGCGGTGCTGGGAAACGACTCACCGTGGAATCCAGACAAACAGGCTCAGGCTACCACAGGTTGAACTCCCAGATAGGGGCTGAAGCCCTCACTGCTGTAGGTTTATAACCATAATGGATGGAGAAAACTTTCTTGCAAACTTGAGCAACTGTAAGAAAATATAATTAAATTTTTTATTCAACACGGATGTTTTTGTTATTCGATTAATCAAAATGAACTAAGTAGTTAACATTTTTAAGGGTGTTTTGCTTGAAAACATGGAATCATCATCTTACATTTTATTCTATTCATTATAGACATAACCATAATTATAAAACCTGTAAATTAAAAAAATGAACTTGGGTGTCTTACCTTGGACTTGGTTGAAGAGGTATAACCCAACTTTCAGTTCAGCAGTTTATAAAGCAGTTGTTCCTCCCACACAACTTTTTCTATTGTCACTGCCAGGCTTTACAATGACGTTAGTGCCTCCTTGTTTAGCTGTTTTACCTTGGAGATATAACTCTGTGATCACCTTGTTACATCCAACCTCGTACTCCCCAACAAGTCTATCAAAATTTTTACAATTTGTACTAAAACATACCCTGCAGTAGTAAAGCTTATAGTCAGCATTTACAGTTAGCATTAACCATAAAAGTAGTAGCGTATTTACCTTTTTACTTTAGTGGCAGAAGAGGAAGTAGCGCATCTTACGTATGGGCACCTTACTGTCTTTACATTGGCTCGCTGACCGGGGGTCTCCATATGTTTGTTGGCCACTCTCGCAGTGGTCTCATTTAAATGAATGAGGGATCTGCATTTTTTTCATGCAAAGGCAAGTTTATTAACAAAAAACAATTCAGACACAAGGTAATTGAAAATGGTTTACAAAGGCAAAGAATTACATTAAAAAAGACCTTAAGTACATGATATATAGTTTTTACTTTTATTTAACCCTTATGTTTACAACTATGGCCTGGAATTTCATTTAAAACATAAAAACAAAAGTGGTTTACAGTGGCATAGAATAAGTAAAAACATTTAAAATAAGATAGATAAAATAAAATAGAAAACAAGCAATGGCTGGCTGGCCTCAGCTGCTTTCTCAGGTGTGTCTCAGCACAGGAAGAAAGGCCCAGGTAAGCCTCCCACCCCTTTTTATAAACTCTGCCCGCTAGCCTGGGTCCTATTGCTGGACCCTTGTATCCTTCCCCATCAATTCAAAGTTATAGATATGAAGTGTTTTTATGTCATAATGATCCTGAAGTTTGGTTTTTTCACCAGCTCTGTTCTACCTGTCTGCCCAGAGCTAATGTTGGTCTGAGCACCTCCACCTCAACTAATAAAGGAAATACAGTTGGAAAGAATATGGATTATATTGATTTTATTAACTAAAATAATATGTGAAGCCGGATGTGTTTAGCAATTTCCGGGAGAAGCTAATTTATACCAAATTTGTCTCCATTAGCTCCTCAGGATTTGCTCTCTCAGCCTCGAGTACCTCTTTTAGGTGCTTGTTTTCCTTCGCTTCCTCCTCAACTTTCTTCAACAGCTGCTCTTTTCCCTTTTCCACCAGATTACCCACAAACTTTTTAAATATAGTAAGCAGAGGATGGGCGTACTCTATAACACTCTCTTTACGCTTTGGGTCGAATATACTGGTATCGTAGGTAAATCCTGCAGAGTGCAAACCAACAACTCGGCCAAGAGCATCAAACACTGGGGAGCCAGAGGAGCCGTGATACATGAAAGTGTTATAGGTCACTACTTTTTCTGCATCCCTTCCACCCATCATTATGTTTTCAATGCTTTGAGCTTTGAGCACTTGAATGATTGGCTGGATGATGAACTTACTGTTTGTGTAAGGCTGTAAATTATCATTGATAGCCTTTAGCCTCTTCTCTTTCTCAATGATACATGTAGAATCCATTTTTTTCAGTCCTCCCTCTGGGTGACCAATGATACAGGCTTCACCATTCAGAGGCAATGGACCAAATTTCTTCAGGAGCCCTGGTGGTACTTTTATTTTCCTTGTGCTTGTTCTTTGTTTGTTGCTTGGGCCCTCAGGGTTGAGCTTCAGTATGGCGTAATCTAGCTCAACATTATAGTCAATTAATGTTTTCTCACAACTGAACTGGTAGAAGTTTTTGTCAGGCTCAGGATCATCATAGTTAAATAGAGCCCACACATCTACATCCAGCTGCAACTTTTTGACATCAATGTGATTTTCAAATAAATGTGCATTAGTCAGGATAAAGTTATCAAACAGCACAAAGCCTGTTCCCTGACAAACATCCTTAACAATGAGTTTACAAACTGACTCGCCCAGTTTCAGCAGATTCCTGACTCTGTGAACTTCGCTAAAAGACTGTTGGATCTTTCCAAAGTCTTCCTTCCTCAGGGTCAATTCTTCCTCATACGAATTACCAGAGAATCTTTCCTCCATCCATTTTTTCAGATCTGGAAACTGCTGACGCAGTATCTCATAAATCTCGTCTATGTTGTCACTGCCCGACTTTTCTACTGCTCTTTTTACACTGACTCCACTCTGCTTCACTACATCTTCGACTGACCTTGTCTCATGCTCGTTTTGTAAATTATTTGATGCACCTTCCTTTTCCTGTTGTTTTTCATCACTTTTTCTCTTGTTCAGTGGAAGACATATCTTGAGTGATTTCTGATTAAGGTTGTCAACTGTTACTGTACAGTCAGTGAGAATATTTGGATTCTTATTGTCAGACAGTTCAAATTTGCCGAGGTCATCAATGAAGCGACCGTCTCTTTTCAGAGCTGCTTCCACAGTCATACCCTTCTCTCCATAAACACAGAGAGTCTTGTACTGTTTGACAACACTGCTTCTAAAAAGCTCCTTTGATTTGGCGTTCACGCCTCCTATGGTATCTATGAAGAAGACTATATATCTGTCTCTTGGATAAATTATTTTGTTCTGTTGCTCTTGGGCCTCTTCGATCTTTTCTTTTTTACATGATATGATCAGACACTCATCATCACTGATACAAGAACAAGGGAAATGTGTTGGAACAATAGATTCCTTATCCTCTTTACCCAGCTGCATTATAATGTTCGCATCTGCACATTTAATCTTCTCCTTGTATTTTTCAGTTGATTTTATTGCCTCGAGCACCGTGCAAGGTTGATCACAGTTCACGGTGTATTCCTTAGGGTCATGTCGACTGAATTTCACTGTGAAATGATGTGAATGTTCGCCCTGCAGGAAATCAGCAGCAAAGCAAAGGTTAGATGCCCTTGTTCTGATAAAAATGCTGCCTATTCTGTGCATCACAGTCTACTCACGTCAAAGCTATTCTCTTTCTTCACTTTACATTGAAAGCCTGTGGCATTCTGCAAAATGAGAAAAAGATTTAGAGTTAATGTTGAAAAATTATGAACCTCATTCATGAAATGTTCAAAGTAGTAGCAGCAGTAGCAAAATGGCACAATGGTTTTAAGAGCGGGTTCTTATTGCATTTTGTTCTCATGCACGAGGGGGAACTAAATGATTTTAAAATTACTCAAATACTTATTTGTCTTCATTTTGAACTGTAATGTCTTATCATTTAAAACCTATCAAACTTCTTTTTGTGGATGGCTATCTCTCTTTAATATAAGAGCCATTTGCTTCGACATTTTGTCTTCTAATGTCTCTGCCATTTTGCTTGGTGTTTTGAATGAATGTGATTGCATTAAAAGGAGAACTTGTATACTTACATGTAGTCTACTTTCGCTGACACTGTCAAAAAGGTGACGATTCTACTTTATGTTATCATTGAGGTCACAGTAGATGGTATTGTCATGCTGGACTGTGTTCATGTTTCTAATATTTTGTTCCCATCATCTATGTAAAAACTCCAAATTATTCAATCACCTCATGAATAAACAATTTCTCAATGCCAGAGAGCTCACCTGAGAGGCTGTAGCTCCACCTAGCTGTGTTTTCTCTGTACTGCTGCTGCCAGGATCGTCCTAATAAGAACATGCATACACAAACAAATCAGTTAGGCATGCTGTGGCTAATTCTATTTCTCAATGCTAGAGAGCTCACCTGAGAGGCTGTAGCTCCACCTAGCTGTGTTTTCTCTGTACTGCTGCTGCCAGGATCGTCCTAATAAAAACATGCATACACAAACAAATCAATTAGGCATGCTGTGGCTACTTCTGAATAGAAATGATACCCACATAAGAAGTATGGCTTAGCTTTAACCAAAATTAAGGCTACACAAGTCACAAATATTAAAGATGATAAATGTCTGTTAAGCCTTGATTACAGAAATGGTTATTAGCCAAAAAGTTACTTACACTTTCCTTCACTTCCTCTTTCCTTCCTGTCTTTTTCTCTTTGGGAGGCATTTTCACCTATAGCAAAAATAAAATTAGTTGACGTTAAAACGACATATTTAAGCAATGAGCAGGAATTGGCTAACTCACATCTTACACCTAATTTTCAAATTAAAAAATTGACTGATGTTCATTTTATCAAACAAAGACAATTCAGTGGCACCTTGACGTTGATAAGGACATGTTGCTACCAGCCCACTGAGTAAGTTATACGCAGTTTATTCCAGAGAGATCCTGGTTGGGGAGAGTTGAGTCACCTTGGCATCCAGTACACATACAGACTGTGATGGTTAATTCACCCTCGTAGGGAGTGGTTACAGAGCAGTACTAGGCTCTGAGGACTAAAGGAGCACAGATTTTCACTCCCTACAACAGATAGACAATAAAGATCCAAGTTCAGGACATAGCCAAATTTGCCAAATGTGTAATAAATGAAGAAATGACTCACTGTCAGCACACATTATGGGCTGGCAACAAACAAGTGCCAAGGGCATTGGGCAGTGCAGTCAGATCCTTTTTACCGCACACCAAATCAGACAACTAATCTATGTCGCAATTTCCAACCTTCTGCTTCCCGCTCTTTATATTTAACCCATTCACACTACTGCGATGTGCCTGTGCTTTTCCTTTACTTTCCTGCCTTTCCTTCACACATTTTGTCCTTCCTTGTTTCTTCTGCCTGTCACCACTTTGTCCCATTTTTAATATCCTTATCCTAATATCCTTTCCCCTCCCTCTCAAAAACACAATGATAATACAGATCAGTTACAACAAGAACAGGAAGCTGACTTCAGACAACATTTCATTACTGAACTCAAGTGGCGCCAAGCTATTCAGTTGTGGTTTTATTTGCCAGAGTTTTGACAAATGCCACTAAATTGAGATTATTGCAAGATGTGCCTACTTGTTCACAGGTCATATATAAATAAATAAAATTAAATGCCTCACTGCAGTGCTGTTCAAAGGGGGTTCAATTAAAGTAGATAAGTGATGGTAAATTAAAAATAAAAGATCAACCCATTACTTTTATGGAAAAATCACTTGTTTCAGAAGTTAACCACACAAAATCACTATGTACATATAAATGTAGCTGCTAACAACTAGCAAGCTAATACAAAATTTAAGCAAAAAATTAAAAATACCAATGTATCTTTCTTAGCTTAAATTCTTGGTGACTTTACCTGTTAGTTGTGGATGTACTTTGTTCTGGTCACAATGGCGCCATAGTCCAGAGAAAAACGACCAAAATTCCTGCACTCAGTTTCAGAGCAAACACCTTCAGCTTTATAAACCAGCAGCTTACGTGAACGAAGAGTGGATTTGAAGATTCCCGCCGTATGACAGGGGCACTAAAAAAATATTAGAACATTAGTTAATTTTCGTCAGTATTAAATTATTAATCAATCGTCATACATTGAATATTTTATTTGTAAAATACTCATAGAAGTAACGGTTTCTTTTCCTTTTCTTGTTCTGGGCAAACAGTAAATATCCAGAGAGCCTCCGTAGCCCCCCTCTACTTACATGAGATGGTTCGGTCCTGCTCCCACAAAAGGCACCGGCGGTACTTCTAGAAAAATCTAGAATGACCATAGGCTGCACAGGGAGAGACACTACGTGACTTTTTTGAATTAACTTGTACGCTTAACTGTAAATAGTGAAACATGGTACTTCTGCTCCCCTAACACCAGTTACATTCACAGAAAATAATGAGTGTATATTTTACATTAATTAAACATCTTTTTGAGCAAGCTAATCAGTTGACTGCTCCTGATTCTGCAGGGTTATACTGACAGGTGTTCCTAATATTAGAACAATTTACAAACTATACTAAGAGTCACAAGCCATTTTCTTACTGATAGGTCGCTGTTAAAATAAACTATTATGCTAGGGTGTGGATAAAAAGTAAACAATATGGTGCTGTCTTGCTGAGTCTTAAACAGAGCATTTCGATATGCTTTTACTTCAAGTGACTGTGCACTGATAAAAATATCCTGCTTGATCTATTATTTTTATGTAGATTTTTTGAACATAAAAAATAAAATTGAACGTAAAGTCAACTTAATTTTAGCAATTCTCCTGGCATACTTTTGAGTTTTATCTACTTATTTTTTTGAGTTACAAATATGCATTTTTAATTGAAACTTACTTAATTTTCTTATTTTAATATCACTTACTTGAAGTGGGCTCTACATAGTTTCTCCAACTGTGCTACTGTCATTTTAAAGTTACATTTACTCACATTTTCTAGTTAGCAATTCAAATAGTTGGTTATTTTCTTAGAGGGGTTAATTCCCTGGGTCGCATGAGTACACCCAGCAAATTACATAGCACTCCATGCATTACATAAAGATATGTTGTGTACAAGTCAAATGTTTGGCCTGAGGATTGCACTAGAGGAAAGGTCATAGGGTCACCACAACCAAGAGGAATCTTCCTTTGAAAAGCATTATTGCACTACTGAAAACTGAAAATATGGATGCTCATACAAAAAAGGCCATAAAGTCACCAACATTTAATGGCTTTATTGATTAAACATCATGAATATGTTTGCTAAATTCTACAACAATCCATTCATTACATCTATTAATATGCTGCCATGTAGCTTAAGTGTTGAACACACAAATAAATGGACAAGCCCATCCCCTAGGCCCTGTCTGCCAATGGGACAACAGTATGTACTCTGAACAACACCAAAGAGTCAGTCATCGGGTATAAGTATTTAACTTGTATTTCTAAAGATTCTGAAATGCAGTTCAACCAATGCACAACTTAAAGTAAGGTCTTATTTTGAATTATGAATACAATACATCCACATTGTATAAGATATTCTACATGAGTCATGTGTTTCTCATTCCTGAACAGTTATGTTCCTTAAATAATCTCTTACAACCTTAAAACAGCAACAGCCCCATATGAAGACCTAGGTGACAAGGATTTGGCTGAGCTGACCAGGGCCAAGTTTTGTGCCATTACTGATGGAATTCACACTATAATACAATACATGCCCCAAATGAGCAAATACCAGCAGTGTACCCTGAGAGAGTGCACTTCGAGACTTTGAGAACCTGAGAAAGTGCATTGGGAGAACCTGAGACACTGCAGTGTAAACACCATAACTGTAAACCTTGACCAGAGTGGGTTCACTAAAACCCTCTGCCTTCAACCAATCTGTATGGCTTTTAGGAATGTAATCTGACATTCAGATAATGAACCTTGGTGGGCATCTTGTTGTTCACATCCTCCAGCTCTAGGAAGGTGTATTTCAGTTTCTCAGGGTAGCTTAGTTCCATGGCATAGATAAGACCCATCAGGTAAGTACAAGCATGTGCCACATCAGGAATACCAAAAAGGACTACTGCTACCTCGATGACTATTCCAGCTTGCTTGTCGAGACCGTCATCCCTGCCTTTGCTGACCACAAAGATGTTAAGGACAAATGTAGTATGGGCCTCTTGGATGGCTGCAGCATCATCATCATCAAAAACCTCTGAAATACAGGAGAGAAAATAAAACCAACTAGCTAACTTTGCTGTACCTCAATACTGAAGATCAGATTGATATTATGTTTTTTCTTTAGTATTGCAGCTATGGTTAAGAGGTAAGTATTATATATTTGGGACAGTGAACAGGCAATAAAACGTATGTTAAAAACTTGATGATTCTATAAACTTATTATTATGACAGTTTAGATGAGAAAGCAGAATAATTTTCTTCAATTTCTCTTTAGAGGTTTAAGTATGACAGGTACATATTAAGGGAGTTGGGTTATTCTATAATATGTATTTTGCCCAAAGGTTAGTGAATATATACATTTCCTATATTCGGGAGACCAGGGCCTCCCCCAACAGCCAGGCCTGGGTGGGGAGCCCATAGGTGAGCACTTAGTTGTCAACTTATCATGGGGTCCAGTCAGGCCAAGCCTGACATTGCCAACCCTTAGCTTGGTAATGTTAAAATCTTCACAATCTAAAATGTATGTAACCTATCCTGTTTTGTTAATACATACATTATCTGTATCTCTTATCTTCATTCCTCTCCTAGAATTTTGTCCAGTCTGATTGGTGTCGCTACGAGCTGGACTTCTCCCACTTCTGGCTTTTCGATGGGGAAGCCAGTGGAGAGCCGGACATGTTGATCCTGCCTGAGCCGCTGTCCAAGGACGACGTCCCCAAACGCTTCTGCAAACTGCGCAAACTCATGAGCTCCACCACGTACCTGGAGTGGCCTCAGGAGGAGGAGCGGAGGGGGGAGTTCTGGAGGAGTCTCCGCAATGCTTTGGGAGGAGAAGGAGACTGGGATGAATGAGAAAGTGATATGGATTAATGGTGAGCAGAAAAGGCAAGACAAGGATAAGGAACTAAGCAGTAAGAGAAATGGCAAGAGGAGAAGAGGACAAGAGAGGAGTGAACAGTCAACGAAAAGAAAAAAAATAAGTTAAGACGGGGAACACTTTAACATAAGGACCAGTAAAGTTAGACAAAATAATGGGAGTCAAATGAAAAGATGAGGTGTAAAAGATCACTGAGGCAGAGGAGTAAACAGTGCACATGAAAGGAGGAGATTTAATGACAATGATGATAAACTATTATGACTTAACCACAGTTTTTTTTTGTTGTTGT